CGTTATGCAAATCTTCCCACATAGTGACGTAGACATGTGGGGGCGTGTAAGAACGAGCCGTTTTAGGTAGGTGTGGCTGACTCTGAACTTTTATAAAGAATATCTCTTTGGATTTGAGACTTTAGTCTTTGCAACTTTACAGATCTTCTTTATGCACCAAGAGCTTGTAGCACTCCAAAGAGAAAGGAAAAATTTAAATCGCATCATATGACCCCTTTAACATGTACTAAACATGAGTGGAATTTGCAGCGCAGCACCCCCACACCTTGATGCTCATGACTAGAATTGCATGTATAATTATCTTTATTGAAATGAATTAGGTTTAAATCGCCGTCATGCATGAATGAATGATATTTTTGCAATTTTACACATAATAATCCACGATGATCACATTACACAAAACTGAAATTGCACGTCAAAATAACACATTGTCAATATTTTTTGAGACCCCCCAAAATTTCACAAATCATGTTTTCAGGGGAGCCCATGTCTTATTAAGGGGAGCCGAGCTCCCCCTAGCTCCCCCATAGTTCGAACCCTGAGTGTTAAATAAACAAGTGTATGAGTGAATAAATAGTGTGTATTTCACAGTTACTGTTAAGTGAGATGGATTGCCTGAGGGAAGAAACTGTTCCTGTGTCTGGCCGTTCTGGTGCTCAGAGCTCTGTAGCGTCAACCAGATGGCAACAGTTCAAAGAGGGAGTGTGCTGGATGTGAGGGGGCCAGAGTGATTTTGCCAGCCCTTTTGCTCACTCTGGATGAGTACAGTTCTTGGAGAGAAGGGAGGGTTGTACCAATGATTCGCTCAGCAGTCCGGACTACCCTCTGTAGTCTTCTGAGGTCAGATTTGGTAGCTGAGCTGAACCAGACAGTTATTGAAGTGCAGAGGACAGATTCAATAATGGCGGAGTAGAACTGTTTCAGCAGCTCCTGTGGCAGGTTGAACTTCCTCAGCTGGCGAAGGAAGTACAACCTCTGCTGGGCCTTTTTCACAATGGAGTCAATGTGAGTGTCCCAGCACGCCGGCTCGCTTCCCCCGTCTGCGCGTCCTGAAGCGTCTACAATGTCCAGCAAAACATCAGAATACTCGAAAACTGGTGAAATATCGGGTGGTGTGTACTGCCGAATGTCCAGCAATTCGTCTCTGGTGAAACTGATTGCAGGGATATAACTAAAGACAGGACAAACTAACAAAAACATAAAACAACTGCGGAGCACGCCACGGAGGCAGCCATCACCGTCGGCGCCATCGTGAATTCAACAATGAATTCTATGTAAAAATTAAAATTTTTACATAGATTTTATTTATTTTTTATTTATTATTCATTTATTATTCTTTTATTTTATTTTCAATTATTAAATTATATATTTATTTTAAATTAATATTTTTAATTAAAATAATTTTTAAAGTAAAAAAAAAATGTGGTGGTGTGGCTACCCTGAGATTGTAATGAAGAAAGACATTTAATTATTTTATTTATTTATTTATTTATTCATTTTTTATAATTTTATTATTATATTTATATGTTTGTTTATTTTTTAAAAGAGCAGTGAAGCAATAATATATATATATATATAAAATAATAATAATCCAGAATGAAATATCATAGTGGCTCAAAAATGTATGAAATGTGTTTTACAAAAGATTTTAAAAATATATTTCTTTCCATCACCTCTGACATCCTCATTTGACCCATAAACCACTATGAAACGAAATTGAGTACCATGGCTAGCATAGTATTTATTTATTTATGTATCTATTTATTTATTTAAATTAAATTAAATTAAATTAATTAAAATGTATTTAAATAGTTAAATATTTTTCATGATTATTTTCAGTATTACCGCTCCTTTATGCTGGTTTAAATCCTCTCTGGCAGGCTCTGGGTTTGAGGTGTTTCTCTCTCTTAGGCTGGAGTGACAGCGGCATCACAGCTCTGATCGCGGCTGCTTTAAACCCCGCACTCATTCAGAAGATGGTGGTTTGGGGTTCCAACGCTTACGTCTCTCAAGAAGATGTTCAGATCTATCAGTGTGAGACGGAGCGAGAGAATAGCAGAGCATATGGGGTCTCACTTGGGAGGCCAATCATTTCTGAGTTTAAGAGAAAATGGCAATGAGAATTGGCTAGTGGATTTTGCATGCTGAGCCACTCCCTGTGCCTACAGGTATATAAGGCGAAAGTGCACATCCACTCATCAGGTTTTATGCTGAGGACGTGTCCCGGCAACAGCGAAAAGTTCAAGGTTGTGGCATAGGGACATAACGTCTCCGTTCCCTCCATCAGGGAACGAGGGTTACGTACGTAACTGAGACATTCCCTATCTGTCGGTCACTACGAATGATGTCGAACGACATATGGGCTCCATGGAAAACGCCACAACCTGAACCCCGTCACAACCCTGTGGCGCTGCAATTGTTGACAAGCCATAGCGTATCACAAAAGCTACGCTAAGGTCGTAACCTTCCCAAAGCCCCAACGCAAATTCACTGACCTTGGTGTCGAAGGGGACCAACGGTGAGTACATCGCTGCTGGAGAATGCCATGCTGCTGTTCCATCCACAAAAAAGTTTTTGGAAGGGATTTCAACCTTCAGTGAAAGATTGCTTAAAATCTTTCCTATTTGTTCTTTCAGCCTGGCAGAACGATGGGGAAGTGAGCCTTAAGGGAAAAGGTCGCTACGGAGACCACATCCTACCCGTAGGGAGGTGACATGTGGAGATACTGATATGGACTGACCCAGGGGGCAGCACTACATATGGAATGGGTCTCTGAGGCAGGTCCTACCTTAGAGTAGGGATAAAAACAACTGCCAGAAGAGACTGACAGAGCGGGTCTGTCAAGGGAAGACACGGGTTTACCTAGAGGGAAACCTTACCGTGGAAGAATACGCATATGGGATTACTCATAATGAATCAAGACATATGGACACCTAGCCCAGTACAGAGGCTGGCCGGGACACCGAGCATGCTAACACCAGTACTGGGCCTGGCACTACACGAAGGTTGTTAAACCTCGTGAAGGTGTTATGTGTCGCCCAGCCCACAGCTCGACAGATGTCTGCCAGAGAGGCGCCATGCGCCAGCGCCCAGGCAGAGGCTACACTCCGAGTGGAGTGGGCTCTCACCCCCAGGGGGCACGGCTCACCTTGGGATTGGTATGCCAAGGCGATGGCATCCACTATCCAGTGGGCCAACCTCTGCTTGGAGACAGCCTTCCCTTTCTGCTGACCTCCAAAGCAGACAAGGAGCTGCTCAGAGCTTCTGAAGCTCTGGGTGCGGTCCACGTATATGCGTAACGCTCTTACGAGACACGGCAACGCCAAGGCTGGATCTGCCTCCTTCGAGGGCAGCGCTTGCAGGTTCACCACCTGATCTTGGAAGGGAGTGGTGGGAACCTTGGGCACGTATACAGGCCAGGGTCTCAGGACAACGTGAGAGTAGGCTGGCCTGAACACAAGGCTCCATGACCCTCTTGATGGAAGTGAGCGCGATCAGGAGCGCTGTCTTGAGAGACAGGTACTTTAGCTCAACTGAATCAAGCGGCTCAAAAGGACCCCTCTGAAGTCCAGCCAGGACAACAGGATTCAACCTTCTGGCACCCCTCAGGAACCTAACGATCAGGTCATGCCTTCCCAGGGACCGGCCGTCCACTGCATCATGATGTGCTGCGATAGCAGCAACATACACTTTCAAGGTGGAGGGTGACAGCCTACACTCCAACCTTTCTTGCAGGAAAGAAAGCACGACTCTAACCGAGTATGTTCGGAGGTCTCGTCAGTGAGAAGAACACCAATATGTGAACAGACTCCACTTCAAAGCATAGGCCTGCCTCATAGAGGGAGCTCTAGCCTGAGTGATAGTGTCTACGACCGCTGGTGGCAGATCACTAGGTCTGGTATTTTACCATAACAATTTGCATAATTGACTTTATTAATTTTATTTTATTTTATCTTATTCTATATTCAAAATGGTTTTGAATTGTTTGATTTTATTACCTTACCATGGTATATTTTGAAGGGGCTGAGAGCAAGATTTTAGTCTGATTTTCTCTCACAAATCATAATCACATTGCTCCAGAATGTTGGTTATATAGCATTTGTTGTTGTTGTTTTGTAATTTTTGGAGCTTTCATTTCACTCTTTTATTGTATGGTAAAATATCGTGAGCTTTATTAAGTACTTATTTTATATATTTTTATTATCGTATGCATAATTGTAATGTTCATGATTTATATTTAAAGGGGTCCTATTATGCTTTTTCCCTTTTTTCTGTTACAAAGCTCAAAGTCCAATTCAAATGGAGATATTTTATTTAACAGAAATCACTTTTCAAAAACTACAACGAATGACTCGTTTGGACTACAACGCATATTTTCCGGGATTTGTGATATCACAAATATCAACGAAGGGGACGAAACCTGGTTGAGCTGCACTAGAGAAGGCAACGAGTGTTATCACTATGTCGGAGACACGCTAGCTTTCCCAAGCCTGACAAACTTAGAGTGGTTACAATCATCCGGGTTTAAATCACGCTCAAAAAGATTTGATTTTGACGCAATATTTACACTGAAGCACACAGCACATCACAGCACACACTGGCCCAGCTAACCAATCACAGCACACACTGGCCCAGCTAACCGATCACAACACACACTGGCCCAGCTAACCGATCACGGCACACACTGGTCCAGCTAACCGATCACAGCACACACTGGCCCAGCTAACCGATCACAGCACACACTGGCCCAGCTAACCGATCACAGCACACACTGGCCAAGCTAACCAATCACAGCACACACTGTAAATAATGTGTTTTTCGAACAACCTAGTATGAGAGCCTGTTCTTGTACACCCCCACAACAAAATCAAGACTTTGTAAAAGAGCATAATAGGACCCCTTTAAAGGAAAACGCATGATTTAGTGTGCGACGCTCGTCCTCCGCACCGGGAGGCATCGCTGCAGAATCCGGAAGCGCGACGAGCGCTTTTACTTTCTCTCGTTGATCGTCGGGTGAAGCGGTCTCGGCATGGAGACGGCGCTGAACGGGGACTCCGTGGGGCCCATCGCGGTGCATGATTTCTGGGAGAAGATTCTGGAGCAGCTCGATCACTTCCATGTGATGAAGCTGAGATGCGGGTTCTTCCTCTGGATCAGGTCTGAGCCGGTTCTGTCCAGTCTGGCTCTCGCCGTCAGCAGCAAACATGTGAGTCCCGTTCATCTGCACAGTATCATAAACATAAGCATAATCATAACCATAATCATAACCATAAGCATAATCATAACCATAATCATAACCATAACCATAACCATAATCATAATCATAATCATAATCATAATCATAAACTTTGGTTAGTTTGGCATCAGTGTGTGTGCTGGGCAGTGTCCTTTTATTATTACTATTATTGTAGTATTTATTAATATTTTGAGTTGGCTTATATTTTCAGTTTGTATTTTAATCTCGGTTTAAGTTTCAGGAATTGTATTATATGCTTTTTAGCTTTATTTTAGTTTTAGTAATTAAAAAAATCTAATTTTTATATTTTGTTTCAGCTCCATTAAAACAGTTTTTAATAGTTCTAGTAAATGTTTTATGATTTTTGTAATTTTTATATTTACATTTAGCTTTTTATTAGTTTACTGTATTTCAGTTTTAGTTGTAGTCATTTTAATATTTCAACAAATCTTTTTTTATTTCAGATTTTAAAAATCCCAAGTTTTTCATATAATTTTTATATTTGATTAATTATTATTTAATTATTATTTTTTATTAAAATAGTTTTAGTTTCAGTGATGTAGTTTTATACTTTTGTAATTTGTATATTTCTGTTTATTTTAGTTTAGTTTTAGTCATTTTAATTCTTTAACTTAAACCTAATTATATCGGTTATTTGCTAAGACAACGTTTCTAATTTATTTAAAAAAATTATTTATATTTTATTTCAGCTTTATTAAAACGGTTTTAATAGTTTTAGTTGACAATAACAACACAACTTTAGTAAGTTTATTATATGCTTTTGTCATTTTTAATGTATTTTTATTAGTTTAGTTTTAGTAATTTTAATACTTCTACTGAAACCTAATTATTTCAGTTATTAACCATTTTCTAATTTAAAAAAAGTAAAGTTTTCCGTCTAAAATTTATATTTAGTTTCAGCTTTATTAAAACTGTTTTTAATAGTTCTAGTTGACATTAACGGCAAGTTTTAGTAAATTTATTATCATTTTTATATTTCTATTTAGCATTAGATATTTTTATTCCAGTTTTAGTATTTTTGTAAAAATGTTTTAAGTTTTTCATCTATTATTTATAGTTCATTTCAGCTTTATTTAAATGAACAAAAACAGTTTTAAATAGCATTACGGTTTTTAACAATAACAACACTGATTGCTGGGAGAACTACTTCATTTTCATTTAAAGCAATTAGATTTTTTTATCTTGTAACAATCATTTTGTTATATTTTTGGTATATTTTTGATGTTAAACGCACGTTATGATAAAGTTGTCTCTGATTAGTTCTGTTTGAAAGCTGAAGGTTCAGAAATGAAAGTTGCTCTAGAAGCGTTTCTGCGGCTCATACCATGTTTGTTGTTTCTTCCCAGGATTCAGTGCCTCTGTCCGCTCTGGTTCTGGGTGATCCGTCAGACACGACGCCAAGCTCTCTTGCACAGAGACTCAGTAAGATCTGCTTTAACCATCCATGTGCTTTAGTCCTTTACAGCTGAAGTGTAATGCCATCAAACTCATCCGAAGGGTGACAGACCTAGTCTAGTGTTCACCTAGTTTCTAGCATTTATTTCCCTCTTTCTTTTCAGCAAAGAAGACAAAGAAACAGGTATTTGTAAGTTACAATTTACCCGTGACGAACTCAAATCTAGCGCTGCTGGTGGAGAACCGAATCAAAAAGGAGATGGAGCTTCATCCCGACAGGTTTTAAACGTTGGCTGGTTTACCTGCCACTTATTTGTACATAGCTCAATAAATCTAAAGCAAAAATTATTCAGTCGTAACTAGGGATGCACCGATATGAAAATTTTGGCCGATACCGATAACTGATAATTCTTTATTTTTGAAAGCCAATAACCGATATGTTGGCCGATAAATCTATATCCAAATTTTTATGTACTTTTTAAGAGCCTGATTACAAAAAAGGTCTCATCATTAAAAACCACATCACAAACACTTCAACATAAGCAGCCTAGTTTGAACGGTGTACGTTTTAAAAATAATTTTACTCTCCCATTACCAAATTTAGTCATTAAAAAGTCTTACAAATAAATAAAATAATGCATAAATAATGCAAACAAGTCATTGGACATCATTGCTGATGAAAATAATCATAGAAAAATACAAGTCGTAACAATATTATTTTGTGTGGTACGTATCCAGTTATGAGCCAAATTGATGTAGGTTATAGCAAAGAAAAACTGGTCTGGTCAATTCTCTTTAAATTCAAGTATTGGTATGCAAAACCTGGAAATATGAGGGGGATTTTAAACCTTTGATTTCCAGACCTCAAAAAGCCATGGGAAGTATTTATTAAAATCCTTAATTTATTCCAAAAAAAAAAATTATATTCTGAAATTGTGAGTCTGAATTCTGAGATACGTCGCAATTAATAGAAATAATGGAAATCTTTATTAGCTATAAGCTGCAATTGCAAGAAAAAAAATCAGAAACATTTAGAAATGAACATTTTAAAAGAAAAAGAAAAAACAAAACCTGGAAATATGAGGAGGATTTTAAACATTTGTTTTCCAAAGATTTCTCAAAAAGCCATGGGAAGTAATTATTAAAATCCTTAATTTATAAAAACAAAAATTATATTCTGAAATTGTGTAGAAATTGCTTTGAGTGAGTATTCAGAAAAGACAGAAAAAGACAAAGAAATATATTGATCAGAAGGTGTGGAAAAGCTTGTTTCTGCCACAAGATGTAAACTCAAAAAGGCAAATATATTTTTATCTCACAATTCTGAGAAAATAGTCTGAAATCTGAGATTACAAAGTGGCAATTAATATAATTTTTTAAAACTTTATTAGCTATAAACTGCAATTGCACAAAAAAATTAATCTGAATTATAAGATAAAAATTAACTTTTTAAAATGTTAAATCATTATTATTTTTTGTTCTGTGGCATACAAAAAACAGAATTGCGACATGCTAACTCAAAAAAAGTCAGAATTGTAAAACAACATTTTTTAACTTTTTAAAGTTTGTAACACAAGTTCATAATTCTGAGCCAAAAAGTTGAAATTGTGAGAAAGTTCAACAAGCTTCCATAAAACCCTGTTATTAAAATATGAACAACAAAATATACTGTATTAAAAAATGGCATTTATTTACAAGTGCAATGTCTTCAAATGGACTATTAACATGTATGAAATTCTCTTTTAATTCTAATGGTCAAAATGACACGCGAGAGTCAAATACAGAAAAATACACTGATGCTTTACAATGTTTCAGTCTCTTGCACATTTTAAATTCAACAATTTTATTTGAAATTCTTTCAAATTTTATGCACTCTGCTTTTGAGTGAATCTCATTAATGCGTGTCCAGGTCATGTTTCATGCCAAAATCAAAATTATTATTTTATTTTTTTAAATACTCAAGATCGCATTGCATTGTAACACATTAATAATTTTGAATATAGCTTTTTTTTTTTTTGTGATGTATATCTACAACGGTGCTTGACAATTTAAATAATATATACTTTTTCACATTAAAATAATATTTTTGGTCCTAAAAATAGGCTTAATTTTCTTTAAGAAAAATATACTTTTTGTTATTTTTGGGGTGAAATATGACCTGGAAATGTTTTTGATTTTGTGAGATTGACTCGAGTGTGCTCTTACAATGTGCTTTAATCAGTATTTGAAGTATTATGGAGTGCTTTAGTGTTGAAAAGGTGAATATTGATCCTGTGCTTGTTTCTGATTATTCACTATTACTCCTGCCATTAGGATGTGAATTGACAAAACTCATGTTCAGAGATAATTATATATATATATATATCCCAGAATCCTGTTTACACACACACACACACACACACACACACACACAATACCTGCAATCACTGTTTAAAACCGCGAAGTATATGGTTAGAGACTTTTTTTGTTCTTCATTTGGTTTCTTATTCAGTAGTTCGAGGATAAACAGGAGTTTGTGTGATGTTCAAGTTACTCCACTGCTACTCTACACATTAATAATACTAACAATAATTGCTAAATATACATGAAAACAATCAGCAGCCCTTCTAGTGGTCGTGCTTCATGTCAGCTCGAGTTCACATTTATGAATTGAATCAAGGGAATGTCCGGGTCACATTTCACAAAAATAAAGCAATAAAATGAAGCCTGTTTCTGTATTGTGACATTATTTTCATTTTCTCCCCTCCTGCCAAATCTCATTATCACAATGCAATAAAAAAAAAAAAATCTCATTATCGTTATGCATCTGCACATTACACTTTTGTACTTCTTATTTTTATTATTCTAATGATTGTCATTAAATTCTCATTACTTTAAATACAATGATATTTTTAACTTCAAATTTGCATATCAAGTCTAAAAACGGCTTCATTTTGTTGATGCGAAATATCATTTATTATTTCTTTAGATTTTGATGTGAAATGTGTCCCAGGACACTTTCCTGACAGGCTTCACCTCTTTAACTGTGGTTTTTGAGTTTGTGAATGTTTGCATGTTAACCCTTGTACGTCTTTAGGGACTTTTAGTCTTTCACGTTTGTCTTTTTTATCATTTTGACTGTGTTAATGCAAACAGCATACATTTTGTCAAAGGTGTATTTTTAATTGGAATTTCAATATTTCACCCTCGTTTTCTTTCATAAATGTATTTTATATTAGGTACAAAAATAGTTGCACTCAGGACCTCAATGAAAAAATGTCCCAATTGAAACCAGTTAAAGTGGCGATATTTAATCCCAGTGCTGTTTAAGCTTAAAATCATGCATTTTTGTTAATAGGGTTTCATTCAAAATTTGTACTATTTTAAAAATTCTTATGATTTTCCACCTGATTTTCTGCTCTGAGCTTCTGCTGAAATTGAAATTGAATTATGTTAAAAATAAAAATTATCTGACACTGCACAAAAATAGTGCATCAAAATTAATGTTGTTAATCATTGACATATCCAAGATTGTAAAAATTCCAAAAAAAATTCTCCTTAGCATTTAGTATATGGAAAATAATTAATTTCATTTTTCATAAAAACAACAACAACAGTGGCATTATATAAACAAACTAGCATTTAAAGGGTTAAAATCCTGAAAATAAATTTTTTTGGGTAGTTATGATCAAAACAAGATCTATGTCAGTGAAAGTG